ATTTTCTACAGCTATTTATATTCATTTGGCCATATTTTTCTTAGTGCTCAAACACTGGAAGCTTTTAAGAAAAGATTGGACAACCATTTATCTGAAATGGCACAGGGTTTACTACTTGAGCAAAGAGTTGGACTAGAAGACCTCCAAGGTCCCTTCCAACTCTGGTATTCTGTTATTCTTCTGTTGCTGTTGTAATTATGATTAAAATAATGGGGAAGTTGGATCTGATAACATTTTATACATAGCAACATACAGGGACAGATATAGAATTAATAGATCAATAACCAATATCATATTCAATAAAATATATTACCTCCTATCAGTGATTGTTACAAAGTTCACTAAAATAATGAAATAGATTATCATGTTGCATTTGTAAATTGTTCAGAGAATTCTGGCACTGGCAGTGATTATATAAAACCTTTATATAGAAAGTGGTGAAATGTTTACTTTATTACAGTGCCATTGTAACTTTGAACAGTCATTAAATTAACTGTATATTGCATTATCATATCAACAGTAAAGTATTATATAATGGTAAATAAAAAAACTAACACGAGGGGAAAATATTTCAGAAGAAAATAGAGAGGCTAGCAAAGCTAAATTTAAACCAATTATAGAAGAAAAAGTAAAACAAAAGAAATGAAATAAAAAAGATTATGAGAAAAACGGAAAAGAAGTCTAGAAAGATAACTGATAACAATGTGTAAAGGTCTATTCTAAAAATCATGGAAACTCTTTTTCACAGACAGATGTTAATTTCAGTCCTGAAATATGTTTCAGTGTGGCAAAGAAAAGCTTGAACATATTAATTAGACTAACATTTATTCTAGAAGTGACCTCCAAGGAATAAGCAATTAGCTCCCCACAATCACTGCTACCAGATTGTGCCTGGAAATGAAAGGGGCAGGGGATTCAATTGGTTCTATTCTGTTTGTAGCATGGTGTCTTCCAAGGAGCACTGCCTGTCCTAATGATAATTCCTGTATTCTGACGTAACAGTGTCAAGGAAGAGAAGTATATATCATGTTGTAAATACTACAAGCAACTCAAAGAACCCTTAGAGATACTGCCTCTTTTTGTTTTGTATTTTGGCTAGAACCTTTTCAGTACAATTCAGAGATCATCCAGAAAGGATATGGATGTTAATCAGGTAAAGGCTCAATGTAAACAAATTAAATTTATCAGAACACATGTCATAGTATTTACCAGAATCACGTCAGATACTTTTGTTGTCATTGTTGTTGCTATTTACACACTGAGAGAAAATGTGAAATATTTTAATGGAAAATAAACTTGAAACATAATGAGCCAAAATAAAAGAGGGCAAATATATAACATAATAGCAGAGTTGAAAGACATTGGAGGACTTCTAGTCCAATTCCTGCTCAAGTAGGAGACCTTATAGCGTTCTGGAAAAAAGGCTGTTCAATATCTTCTTTAAAACCTCAGTTGATGGACCACCAAAACTTCTAGAGGCAACTGATTAAATGTTCCCACTGGAAATATTTTCTTAGTTCTAGGTTGGATCTCTCCTTGATAAGTTTCTATCTGTTACTTCTTGTCCTGCCTCAAGTGCTTTGAGAAATAGGTTGAGCTCCTTTTTTCGGTGACAGCCACTCAAACATTGGAAGACTGCTATCATGTTACCCCTCGTTGTTTTCTTCATTAAACAGTACGGGGCCAGTTGCTTCAAACGTTCTTTACATATTTTAGCCTCCAGCCACCAATCATCTTTGTTGTTCTTCTCTGTACTCTTTCTAGAGTCTCAACATCTTTTTTTTTGTATCTTGTACTAGATGCAATATTTCAAATGGGTCTTACCAAGACAGTGTAAAGTGGCACTTCACACTGGTTTTGACACTACCCTCTGTTGATACAATCTAGGGTTGCATCAGCTGGCTTGTATTTAAGTAGTTGTCTACAAGGATTCCTAAATTCCTTGCAGTTACTGTTGCTGAGCAAGGTACCATATACTCTATACCTGTGCATTTGGTTTTTCTTGCCTAAGTGAAACCTTTTCGCACCATTGAATTGCATTTTGTTGAACAGAGCCCAGTATTCAACTCTGTCAAGTTCCTTCTGGATCTTGAGCCTATCTACTAAACAGAGATCGGTTGCCAATTTCTTTATTACCAATTTGGGCACCCTCCTATGCATGTGCGACACTTCTGCACATGTGCAGAAGCATCTGGGAGGGTGGGTGGAGGCTCTCACTGTTGCTACTATAGGTTTGGCTGATCCAGCAGCAACCCATCTCTGCTTCTAAAGTACTAGGCCTAAGACAGAACCTTGAAGTATTCACTATATACTTCCCATCATGTGGATTAGTTCCATTAAAACTGTGGTTGGTCAATCAGCTACAAATCCATCTGGGGGTGATGCTACCTTTCCCACATTTTTCTATCTAACTAATAAGTATGTTGTGGTATACTTTGTCAAATGTCTTACTGAATACAAGTATGCTATGTCCTTAGCATTTTGCTGGTTCATTAATTTACTTCTTTTGTTAAAGAACACAATAGACTTCTAGTAATAGCTTTGCTTGTTTCTACTGGTAGGTGTTCACAGCTGCATTGCTTGATTATCTTTTCCAGGACTTTCCAAGAAATTTGCATATCCCTTGGGTATAAGATTATAGCTAAGATGTTGATTATGCTATCAATTGGTGGATTGAGAATTGTTGCCTAACAAAATAAATGGTTAATATCTCTACTGTAAAGCAGTGGGATTTCAGTATAAGTCTACAAGTCTGAACACATCAATAATAATTCAATTATAGCCTTGAAACAGGCTATCTAAAGATATTGGTTTGATTCAACCACAAGAGGGAGCAATAGTAGGAACGATGGGCAATTACATAAACACGCATATCTTAACAATTCCTACAGGACACCTTAATGTGAATATATTTAATTGTATGTGAATAAGGAATAATTTCCACAGAGTATGATTGAAATCTTGAACAATTATTGTTTTACTTTCTAATTCTGAGTGGAAATAATAGCCACTCTAAATTCAAACGTGCACACCTTGAGGTGCAGCTAATTATATTTAATTGCAGTATCTGCTTGGAAACAATTTTGTTTTGTCCAATTCTCAACACTCTTGGGCCACTTGAGGATATTATAGGGAGAATGTAGCAATCATATCAGAATGAAACCAAGTGAATAATATATATAAAAAATCTGAAATATTTTCTTTCTTTATAGAAAGAGAAATCTAAGAACCGTTTTCAGACGAAAGTAGTTCAGGAAACTATAGTTTAGTTCAAATCAGTTTAAATGTTTTCCTCTCCTCCCTTAACATCAGACTGTGTTTATTTTCAAACAATACATATGTTTGAAAGTTTGCTGAGTTTTGACATACACTGATATGTGGCATTTTTTTTAAAAAAAGGATTCATATTGAAGAATGATCAGTCATGTGTCAACTTATTAGAAACATTATACTAGAGTAATAATTTTTCTTTTAAAATATGCTTTGACAAGACAATTTGAAAATTGGGAATAATGTGAACACTAATAATACAGAAATAGATTGAGTAACTTAATGAATAAAATGCAACTAATTTTTAAAATTATTTTCTAACAAAAATAATTCCAAATCATTTGTAATGTTATAAAGAATTATAAAAAACTGTTTGCAGCACAATATGTTTGCATTTATTATTTCCCCCCAAGTTTAATATTTATTTAGATTCAGACTGAAGCATATAAGAGTGGCATGTTTAGGTTCTGAAGATCTGACAGCCAGATTATTATGGCAAATATGGAACTCAATAGATAGAAAAAGCAATTAGAATATTCACTTTTGTCTATGAGCTATTCAAGATCTTTTTTTGTGAGTTCTTTGTCAATGTTGTAAGTTAGTGTCCCTTTGGAACAATACAATTGGATGAAAATATGCTGGATTGTGTATTACTGGGCATCCATAGAATCATGGGAAGTGGGTTCACTGCTTTTAAATCCACCACTTTTCTTTTGTGTGTGTGATTTACCTTCCTTGGTTAGGTTGTTGAGGACTCTCTTGATATGGCTGTCCAATTAATGTTTATTATTATTAATCTAGCATTTATTCACTGAGTTTATGATATTCAGACTTCAGTACATCCTTAGATGGGCATCTTATGCTACTTCATTTTTTTACCCAAGAAAAACATTTTCTTATCTCTATTTCTTTTCCACTGAATGTGTTAATCAAGAACACTGATTCAATTACAAAACAAAAAACAACATAACCATTTGCAGGGGCATCTGCATGGGAGTTGAAAAAGGAAAAGGTAATGAAAGAAGGAATTGAGAAACAGAGAAGTCAAAGAACCAGTGAAGAGGAAAAAAAGAATCTGTTCAGGCAAGGTACAAAGGAGAATTTCTTTTTTAGTTAAGGATGATTTTACTTCTGAATGGAATCTGAATAAGTTTTGAATGGTAGACTAAAAAGAAGGAGGCAGAGAAAGGATAGATTTTTGTTTCTTGATTGAATTCCATTAGATATCTCATTAAAAAGAGTGGACTTTTATGAAATTGTTAACATATTTTCTATATTTTCAATTAATATCTTTCTAAACTAAGTCAAGGATTACAACTACCATAAATTACTTACAAAAGGAAGGAAATTGGAAGATGCTGAACTTTTGGAATTATTAAGAGAATGATGATGAGTAAACCAAGAATATAATAATACGTTGATTTAACTTAAACATAATGTTAATAATCATGTTGAAAAATATAACAGAAATTACTTTTGTAATATTAATTGTAGTTAATAGAATCATCATCAACAGCAAAAACCATTTAATCTTTAAATTTTAGGCTTAGTTTGTGAGCCAGAAAAGCACTTCCCTAGGCTTTATTAATTCTTATTCTTTTTCACAGTTTCATTTTTCTAGGAAATTGTAAGAAATCATTAAGCATTCAGTTCTGTCAGGTTGTACTTTCCTGCTATGCTCCATTATTGATTTATTTCTTTTTCCAGACAGAATGCTAGCTCACAGAACAACTAGATGGTTTACAACAAAATGAATACACATTTGGAACAAAGGTACAACAATCCAATCGAAGTCACTACTATAAATTTAGTAGCTTTCCTAATCATTCCCTTCACTATTTAGTACCCTGCTTTGAAAGGTTATTATTTAGTACCTTTTTGAAACAGTAATAGGAGGGGAGTTATTCTAATCTTGGGAGTAATCTTTGCAGAGTCTGAGTGAAACCTACTTGAAAACTTTCAATCCTTTAACATTTTTTTGTGTGTGTGGTAGGAATGCCTAGCATCTATTCTAGGGTTGATCTTATTAGAAGTTCTGATTTTATCTGGGGAAGTGATACTTCAGATTCTGGGTCTGTAAAATTTATTAAATGAACAATCCATGAAAAGATACTTTTTACTCTTATGATCTGGTTAAATATACTCTGTAGTACCCAGAAATAAAGTTTGTGTGTGTGTGTTTTTCTCTCTCTCTGTGTGTGTGTGTGTATGTGTGTGTGTTTTCGTAGATTTTCACGGGTGTAGGTATGCTGGTCTTGTTGCATTCAGGTCTTTTCCCATGTAAGATTGAGATTGTCTTGGCAACGTGTCAGTGAGGTCTCACTCGCCATCTTCAGGCTGGTGTAGTGTTCAGATGGTGAGTGAGACCTTGCTGACACGTTGCCAAGACAATCTCAATCTTACATGGGAAAAGAGCCGAATGCAACAAAACCAGCATACCTACACCCGTGAACATCTACTATATGTGTGTGTGTGTGTGTGTGTGTGTGTGTGTATGTATGTGTATATATGTACACACACACACATATATACACATACACATACATATATACATACATACATACATACATACATACATACATACACACACACACACACACTTACAGAGAGAGAGAGAGAGAGAGAAAGAGAGAGGGAGCAAATACAATAACACAAAACATCTATATGCATGCAGGGCAGAATTTTCTTGTTACTATAAGAATAGCTGTAGTAACAAGACAGGATTTTTTTTTAACCCCAAAGTTTAGAGTATCTTATAAAAATTCCTTTGTCTCAATATGCTTAAACATGCATGGCTTCAGAAAATTAAATTACTTTTTTTTATCTGTTTGGGATCAGTCTTGTTTCCTCTTTCTCTTTGTGTTTACTTTCCTGCAGTAGCTTGCATCAAAATGTTTTCTGGAATGCCAGGGCTAAATCAGTTATGCTTAACTCAATATCTAATACAAATAGCTCCTGGGAAGTTTGAGCTACACAATCATAAAAGGATCGTTCTCTTTCAATAGCTCGCCACACTTTGGTGATATAGTATTTCTCTAATCACCAATCTTTATGTGCCTTCCTGACCTTGCCTCTCTCTGCCCAAACGCCGAGGTGGGTATCAAAGGTCTGTGTCATCGGAAGAGTGAATGGCTTTCATTTTCTCCCTTCTTGAAACTTCCGGTTCCTGGCATCTGCAAAGAATTATTCCAATGAGGAGTTTGGCTGCCTCGCGGCTAGTGGCCTGTAGTGGCCTGTTTGATGGATGCAGCTTTTGCCAAAAAGGTTCTTGTGGTCAGCAAGTAGACGGACGCTGCTGTGTTTAGCAGACGACTGCTCTGCTTACTTAAGCAATTCTTTTCGGGATCTTCACCATCCCAATGGCACAGCAGACTTGGGATGAGCCTGTGATAGAAGTCTCTTTGTTTTTCATCAGAATCTGTCTCTCTCTTTCACATACATATACTCATTTGCATCGACAGAACAGTCAGTGAGATCTCAGAAAACCTAAATTCAAGCTTTTGTCATTTTAGTAATCAGCTAAAATACCAGCCCCATGCCAATGGAGAAATTTTTGTAAGCATTGCTAGAAAAGAGGTTGAAGTTCAAAAAGTCAGGTAATAAGGAACTAGTGTGTCAATTACATTTTTAAAGAAAATAACTGTATAGAAACTTTTCTAGTATATCAGAAAATAAAACCAAACAAATCAGGTGTGTGTGGGGGGGGTGGGGGGGTGGGAATGTATTTCATATTATGTGGTTTGCAATGTATACACACGCAACAAAGTATGTTAACCCTGTTTATTGGAAACATTCACATCTATGCAATACTAAAAAAGAACTCTCAAAGATAAACAAATGCTTACAATCTGCTTACTAAGTTTACTTGTAAATGTGTTTTAAGCCATATGTTTCTTATGCTACATGTACATAAAAAACGTTGGAGTTTCAACTATATGATTGAGTCTGCCATACTTAACATTTTTAACTCTAACCCCAAAGAAGCATTATATTCATTCAGATTAGAGGGATAGTGAGCCAGAGGAAGCATTCTTAGCAAGTAATTAACACAGTTTAACATCCCCACTGTTATGAAATATACTGGAACCCTGGCTATTGGAATAATTTCATTATAAATAATTCAGGTACTTTTATAGATAAAATAATTTTATCCAGATACTCCTATTCCACGATAAGAAAAAACATGTTATAATGACTAGTAGTGATTAAATGAAGCAGGAAGAAGTCAAAACTTTAATCTCTATTTGTGATTTTCCTAGGAAATGAACAAGAATACACTTTTTCTGACTTGGTTATTACTAGGCTGATAAAACAATTTTTATATATTATTCTGTAGCTATATAGAGATTGTGGAACTTGTTAGTGACAGTGAGAAGCATTAGACTGTTTGAAAAGTTATCTGCTGTCATATATGTAAATGTCCTTATCAGCCCAGCCTTGTAATGTGTTTATGTGCCCTATGGATATGCCAGACTTAAGTAGAATAGACAAAGGACCATAGTAAGTTGGTTTGTCCGCACAGTGTAACTGATTTCATTTGTAGTAGATAAAACCATATTCAGTGGCACTAAAACTTTAAAAAAGCTGTATTCATGAATTACCCCAAATAAACCAGGTTGGATTAGATGCACTATTTTATTGTAAAATCGCTATAACAAAATCTTGGAACTCTGAAAATAAAAACTTCCTACCATTACTTTTAACTACTTGATCCATTAGGGTTTCTTTCTCTGACCATTAAGCTCCTGAAGGCTCCTGCCTGTTTTGTTTAATTGGTTCCTAGACAGTATCCCCCCCTCCCCAAGATTTTCCACACATTCTATTACAAAAACTGAACTCTATGCATATGAAGTCTATGGGAAATAATCTTCCCCTGAGAGCTGTATTATCAAATCAAATGGCTTCTGCTCCATTTGGTAGAATTTATGCAATCTGTGGTTATAATTTCTAGTGCCTGAATTTTGAGAATGTGAAGTATAAACAATTTTGATAACTTCTCTTAGAATAAATGATTTCTTTTTATCAGTTTTCATCTTTTATTTATAAACAAATTTTTAAAACCTTAGCAAACATCCATTAAGAGATTACAAGATATCTATTTTAATCTTGATGAAATAAATAAATCAATTTTATATTGCTTCCTTTTATTTTTAACGATCTTGATTATTAATCCCATTATAGAGTGTTCTAGAACATGATTCCTTTTTGTCAAGTGTCTTTTGTAAATCCAATATAGGAAAGTTATTTAGTTCATTCTTTTGATTTGTTATTGTTATATACCTTTTGATTATTATGACATCATTTATACATCCTTATATACTGTCATTTTAAAATCAATTTTCAGATCCCTCTCAGTCTTGCCTGATAAAAGTTCATTTTTCATAAAATATTTTAAACTCAGTTCATCTATAATTGCCAATATTAATGTCAAGGACTACTCTTCAAAATATATTTGAATATATCTCAGTTATTTTGTTCTATTCTGCATTAGTACATTTAGGTGTCCTCCTTTCATTGAAATCTTTAATTTCTTTGACTAACCTAGTATTCTAACTTCTGACCTGTTCCATCATATTTTTTTTGTTCAGAACAACAGCCACAGAAAGGACTCTTATAATTAATTTTAAAATCTTAAATCCATGTGGACTTTTATTGTATTTATAACTTTCTGGAATAAACAATATAATCACTCTTTTTGCTTTTTACTCCAAAAAACAAAACAAAAAGATTTTTAAATGTCCTTTATATTTAAAATTGGCTAAGGATTGGAGGACACTGCTGCCAATTACCTCCACTAGACCGATTAGATCCCACAGATTAGGCCTCCTCCGAATTCCATCCGCCGGCCAGTGTCGACTGGCAACTACCCGGAGGAGAGCCTTCTCTGTGGCTGCTCCAACCCTCTGGAACGAACTCCCCGTGGAGATTTGAACCCTCACCACCCTCCAGGCCTTCCGCAAAGCCCTCAAAACCTGGCTGTTCCGACAGGCCTGAGGCTAAAGAGTTGTTGCCCCCGTCTCGAATGGTATGACTGTTGTGAGTTTTAAATTATATATTGTTATGTTTGTTTTTTAAATTTTTGTCTGTATCCCCCTTCCCCGGTTCGAGTTGTGAGCCGTCCTGAGTCCCCCTTCGGGGGAAAAGGGCAGCATACAAATACAATAAACTGAACTGAACTGAACTTATCCAATACTATAAAATTTGTTTCAAAGGTTTGTAATAGCTGAAAAGCAGTTATAATGATAAAAATGATTCCAAAAGGAAGTATTCTCGTTCTATAAAGGTACTGACTTAGATTTGGGTTAATATGACACTTCCTCTTTTCTTGAGCTTTAAACCTAGTGGAGTTTGCTGAATTGTGGCCTTATCATGAAAAGCAATTATCTGGAGCATTTTGGGTGATCTCAGTTCCTTTCCTTGTCTGAAGAGGAATTGCAAAGAACAGATCCACTCACTGACTTTTCATTCCACCATGGTTGTCAGCTTCTCTCTCAAAGGAACTCTATTCAGTTTACCATTTCTTCTTGATACCAGCAGTACTCTCAAATGATTCAGAATGTTACTTGAATTTTGGTGCTTACAAATAAGAAGACAAACCAAGTTTCTCCTTAGCTGTTCAGAAACTCTGACTGGTAACAGCTGAATGCATTTCATTTGATGGTCATAATTCTGAATGGTAATCTTCCAAAAGAATTCATTCTGTCTCCTCAAAACAGCAAGCTTCCTTAAAAAGTTTCCAAGTTTCAGTGATCATCCTGGAATTTTTCCTTTGT